GCGTCAACTGTGTCATCCACAGCACTAGTAACAAACAGCAGGCGCTACACAAACAAATAGCTCTAAAACATGGCAACAGGAGAGTCATCAAGAGACAGGAAAGGTGCCGGGAAGGGTCAGAACACAGAGTGGAATGGGCACAGAGCCACAAGGGGAGAAGGGGCCAACGATGTCATGGAGATGGGGAGAAACGTGGGAAGACACAGTAAAGGGAGGGGAACAGAGGCCTGGCTGCTAGCACGAGAATAGAGGGGGAAGGAGATGACAGAACCCAAACAAACCAACAGAACCCTGACCCTTGAAAGACAAGTCAGGGGAAAACGACTGCATTTTTTTTAAAAAGCTAAAAATGAGAAACAAACAAACAAATATGTGTCCACAGACCAATCAGCACAGCAAGAGCACAGACAGACAAAGAAAATAGAAAAAAGACTCTTTTTTTTTTTTTCCACTGAGGCGGAAGAACAGCCGACCAGAGTGGATGGCCATGCTTGTGCCCAATGTCCTCCTTCCCATTCCTTCTGGGGCTACGGCCTGGGTTGTTTATTGCCCTGTCCCACACGGGCAAGGGAATGGGTCTCCATTTGGAGAAATAAAAGCTAAGAAAAGTAGTGCCATGGAATAACACAGAACACAGAGAGGTGTTTCAAAGTGGGGGCAGAGACGGGCAAGGGGACCAGACAGGTCCAGCTTCTAACAGAGAAAGCCCGCGTTTGCTCTATTTATATTGGAACACACCAAAGGCTTTCTCTAGCAAGTTCCTCACCCACACAGGACAGAGGGGTGGCCGGTAGCTGCTCAGTTCCCTGCAGGCCACGCCCATCTCTGGTGCTGCGGGGCTGAGGGAAAGTTCACTTCATCTGGGTGACCTTACCCGGTGGGACTGCCGCAGGAAGTTCCAACGCCAGGTCGACCCGTCACGGGCTACAGTGCTGAAGACGGTCCTCACCCACGTCGTGGATGGCTTGACCCCTTAATGTTATGCACACAGCTGCAGTGGAGTGGCCTAAATGGAAGCTGGTGGAGTAGCCCTCAGCTCCCTTCTCACCAGAGTAGGGTGGAATGGGAGGGAAACTGTGGATTGGAGTCTTGTCTACACTTACTACTTACTACACTTACTACACTTGTCTAYACTTACTACTTACTACTTACTACACTTACTTACTGTGTAGTAAGATCAGTGCACTCTGAGGACAGGGCTTCTGCAGAGTTCTGAGTGGAGTTTCTGGGGCTGGGACTTAGGTCTAATCAGGCCCCGGGGGGCTTGGCTGGGTGGTGACTGCTCTGGAGATGTTAGAGCAACACACCCCTAGGGCCTGGGGTCTGTCTGGGGTCTGGATCCCAGGAGCTTCCCAAGAATTCCCCTCGTGGGGCCCAGGAGCCAATCCTCCACACCTTCTGCTGCCCATGAGCACAGCCTTAATCCCTGAGTGTGGTCACTCCCCCCTGTTTGGGCTCCTGACCTGCTGCAGCTGGTCACATAAACTGCTAGACTGAAAGGGAAGCAAGCTGGACTCCCCTCTGACCTTCTGACTTGGACTGCCGKGCGTGCAGTCCTCTCTGTGCCTGTTCCACTAGTGTTCTGCTAGGTGTGCCCTAGGCTGTGTGGAGGCGCTGGCTGGGACCTGACTCCTGCAGCAGCAGCAGCAGCAGCAGCAGCAGCAGCAGCAGCAGCAGCAGCGGCAGCAGGCCGCCTCAAGGTGGCGCCACCAGCCAGTTGGGAACCTGAGCACTTTTCAGGCACCACTGCACAGTGCAGTCTCTGGCTCAGCTGAGTTCAGGCTGCTTCTCTGACCTCAGGTGTTTCTCTATACATCTGCCCCTCAGGTTTCTCCCTCCCTCTGTGCTGAGCCAGTGCTGCCGCCAGTGTGCAGCCGGCTGGGCTCCCTTGGAGTCGTCTTTGTTTAATGCACCCAGCTTTCTGCGTCTCTGAGACACTCTGACTGTCCAGTACTGAATTTTAGGGAAACCCTGTTTCACCCCCCTCATTGAGAGTAGGGCTCCCACTGCCTGAATCCCGAGCCACAGAGTAACCACGGCCTCCCTCTAGTCTGCCATCTGGAGTCAGATTTACCTGGATTTTTACTTGATTCATTGAGTCTCCTTTTAAGACTTCTTTGGCTTCTCTTCAGAATCGCTCTGTTGAAATGTGCTTCACGTCCTGCGTTTCCCCCTTGGTCCATTCCTTAGATCCTCTCTTAACTCATAACCATTTTAACAATTGATTTTTTAAATTATCTGGGCTGGTTTTCTTCCACTTCAGTGTCCATGGACTCAGTCTTGGGGGTCATCGGCTGTGGAGGCCTGTCTCTCGAGCTGCCCGAGGCCTGTGTTTGCACATCTATGGGGGGAGGGATCACCAGGGAGCCTTTTTCTCTTCCTAGTAAGTCCTGGGACAGGGTGAATCTCAGCTTCCACACACCAGCCAGAGGGACTCCACTGCCAGGTCCAACCACCACAGAGAGGAGAGGAGACCGCCAGTGGCCATGGGGACGAAAGAGCATTACTGACATGTGCTAAAAGGTGACCACTGAGCCCCGCGACTCCGCTAACCACGGAGAAGAGGGAGCGAATACAGAGCAGGTGGAGAGGAGCATTGACCATGATACGTGGACTGAGCTGGGGAGGGGGGCAACAAGGGGAAAAATTCAGAAAGAGGAGGGAATGAATGAGGGAAGAATGAAGGAGGGAGGGGACAGAGGTGGGACGGAGAGAGCAGGGTTCAAGCGAGGACCCGGCGATGGACAAAACGCAGAGCCAGAGCTTGGAAGATGGAACCCCGGAGGGAGCCCTGGCCGTCGGTCTCCACCCAGCAGCTCCCTGAGAGCAGCCGCCAGGGGACGGTGCTGGGGCTTCAAACACGGAGACGTTTTCTTCTGGGGCTTCAGTTCTGGAACCTTCCAGCCAGGAGATGTCGTGTGGCTCCACAGCTACTGTTGTTGACCCAGCCGGCCGCTCTGGCTGGGGTGCCCACTGCGCTCTGCCCGCCTCGCCGATCCCTTGTCTGTGAGCCCTGTCCACGCCAGGGCAGGGTCCACCCTCAAACTGGTGGCCCAGGAGGAGTGCCGGGCTGGTGGCCCGTCCTCTCACCCAGGGACCAACCCGGGTGGGGCTGCAGCCTCCTGAGCGCCTCAGTCCAGGGCAGGAGAGGCACACGGGACCGTCAGTCTGTCCTGAAGACCCTCCCGACCTGGGGAGCTGTGCAGGGACACAGTGGAACAGTGTCAGGTCACCTCATGTCACCTGACCCCGATCTGTCCACTGCTTCTGTCGGCCACTGGTGACCACAGGGCTCAGACCACAGTTCCAAGGAAGGCGCCCTGCTCTCCCCGCTGTGGAGGGTGTGCAGCAGCCCAGCCACCTCACTGTCCAGGACTCCCCGTCTCCCTCCTGTGTCCAGCGGGCCCCACGGCTCGGGCAGCCTCCGACCCACTCAAAAGCAAAGCCCAAGTGGCTGTGGGGTCTTGGGTCAAGAAACTTACCAAGATCAAGACAAAAAAGAATCGAAAAACACAGAGAAAAGCGTGTCAACCCAGGAAGCCTGCTGCCGGCCCTCGGCCACACCTCAGGGAGGCGCAGACTGGCCCTGTCCCCCGTGCATCCCCGACGCTGTCCCTGAGCAGCTGAGGGCATTCCTGGCCCAGTCGGCACGTGGCAGGGCAGCAGCCCCTGTTTTCCTGCGTCGCTGCAGTCCACCCCCTTATCCCCCCGGGGCTCTGCCTGGCCGCACTCTCCAGGGCTCACACGCTTCCCCACGACCTTCCTGCCGGGGAACACCCCGCAGGACCTGTGTCCTGGGCTCCTCCTGATGTCTAAGGCGCTCTCCATGAGCTGGAAGTGGACAGCAGTCCCTGTCCAGCCTATATCAGGCGCCCAGGAGACACCAGCACCACAGTCAAGGGCCCAGGCTGCGTGTCCCCCCTCAGGGGTCCAGTCGGGGGTCCTCCTCCCCTCCTCTCCCTGGTCAAGCTGAAGTCCTCCCAGGGGCCTGAGAGAAGGACGTGAGGCCAGCACCGCTGGGCCCAGGGCAAGGCCATGCCCAGGGAAACCAGGGCCCACTAGAAGGCTGGAGCCCGCGGGTGAGCCGCGAGGGCCGCAGGCTCAGAACAGCCAGGACGCATCTTGTTCCCGCCAGTCGGCGACCTACAGGTGGCACCGGAGGTCTTGATCAGGAGTCCTGCGCACAGTGGGACAAAACGTGGCCGTGGAGAAGTCCTGCGCACAGTGGGACAAAACGTGGCCGTGGAGGAGTCCTGCGCACAGTGGGACAAAACGTGGCCGTGGAGGAGGAAGTCTGAAGGGACCTGTGCCCACGAGGACGAGGAGGTCACTGAGGGGGAACCTGACCAGGACGGTGAAGGGCACACGCCCGCGTCCAGGGGCAGCGCCCAGCCTGGCTGTGGCCCTCAGGCCCCGCCGAGTTTGGGCTCAGACCGGGAAGCTGATTCGGACCTTTATGTGGGAATGGAACTGCACTCAAACACAAAGTAGAAAAAAAAGAATCACAGAGTAGAGGTCTCGGTGGTCACACCCGGGAAGGGAGAGACCCGCAGGGGAGACCCCAGGAGGCCTCCTGCGGTCTGACGACAGGGCGAAGCGAGGCACCCGGAGAGGGGAGTCTGCGGCCTTGGGCACCCTCAGCTGAGGAGCCAACCTGTGGGGAGAGCAGCCGAGTTCACTGACGTCCCTCATTTCCAGACGCACTGTGGACAGACAGAAGACAGGCCCAGACCCACACACGCCTACCCAAGGACAGACAGAACCTTGGAAACGCGACGTCCAGAACAGAGGCCTGGAGACTCAGAGGGATATCCCCCCCCMCCGGGGGCAAAGGCAGGGGCCGCAGAGGACATGGGACCTTCACACACCGCAGCCACTAGGGGAGGCGGCCGAGCCACAGGAGCGTGTGACCYGAGTGCTGGCGGGACGCGGAGGAGCAGGACTCTGCAGATGTCCAGAGCTGCAGCCGCTGAGAACAGTGGCCAGTGAGCACAGTGAACATGCTGCGGCCACCCCACGTCACCAGCACTGTGACCGAGCTCTGCAGCAGGGCCCAGCACTCAGCGCGAGGCTACGGCCTCCTGACCCCCGAAGGCCCTGAGCAGTGGCCCAGCAACTCCATGCCTAGGTGTTCCCACGTGGACGCCAGGAGCCCGGGCACAGTSCTCACCAACGGGAGACCATCGACATGCCCTTCAGCCACAGAGGACCAGCGGGACGACCCCCCACTGCAGAACTGGAGCCCGGGAAAGAAGCGGCTTGTGACCCCGGCTCAGCTGCGCAGAAGGGCAGAGCAAGGCCCCGAGGGCCGGCATTCAGTGGGCCACACGCTGAAGTCCAGTCCGGCCACACTCCGGGAAAGACGCAGAAGGGGCCTGTCCACAGAGGGTGACGGGAAGCCCTGGGGTGGTGGACGGCCTCCGATTGGCCCTGTGGTGGCAGATCCAGGACTCTGCCCGTCAGAACCCAGAACCCCACACCACCACCATGGGCTGGGGGCGCTGAGGGACAGCAAGGCAGGGGGCCCCACCCAGGGCCGTCCCCGGGTCCTGGCTCCTCCTGTGGTCTGCACCCACATTCCCTGGGACTGCTCCTGTCTGCAGCCTGGCCTTCATGCTGTGCTCTCTGAAGGGTGAYGGTCCCCTGGACTCTGGTCACTTCCCCTCTGGCACTGGGCTGGGACCTGTTGGCACCCAGATCTGAGCAGAGATGAAGCTCTAGGCCCCTTGTGGCCTCTGTGACAGCAGCCTGTCCAGGCCTGCAGTGCCCGCCAGCTCGTCCACCATGAGGCCCGGCTTCCAAACCCCAAGGCGTGTGTCCAGCTCCGGTGTCTTCACGCCTCCTCCACGCTCCWCCCTGAAGCCTGTCTCCTGGGACTCTGTCTCCCTCGGGTCCCAGTCTCTGCCGTGCTTTGAGGGGTCACTTGTGCCCATCCCCGCTTCCGTGGCCTGGACTCTACTCGGCCTTCTGTGGCAGTGACTCCACTGCTGGCCAGCTCCCTGGGCCTCACATGCCCAAGTCCAGTTCCTGAGGCCAGGGTAGGCTCTGGACCTCCCTCCCGCCATCCCCGGGGTGGAGGACCCTGCACACTGGCAGGCCCCAGGGTCCTGGTTCCTGATGTTTTGTTTAGAGGACCAAGGACACGGCCCCTGACCACCGTTCCACCATGTCCACGCCTGTCACAGGCTGAGCGGCTCCTGTGTAAACAACCACGTGGGTGAGGCTCCCAGGGCCGCCCAACACGAACCAGGAAGGAAAGCTCCTGGAGCCCCATGGACAACACAAGCCTGGCCCATATAAAGGCCCACAGCCCAGAGCTCCCCACACACCCACACTCACCCACCCACCCTCCTCCAGCACACCCACCATGGCCGCCTCCACCATGTCCGTCTGCTCCAGCTCTTGCCCAGAGTCCCCCTGGCAGGTGGACGACTGCCCAGAGAGCTGCTGTGAGCCCCCCTGCTGCCAGCCCAGCTGCTGCCAGCCCAGCTGCTGCGCCCCAGCCCCCTGCCTGTCCCTCCTCTGCACCCCAGTGAGCTGTGTGTCCAGACCCTGCTGCCAATCAGTCTGCACCAGCTCCTGCACCCCCTCCTGCTGTCAGCAGTCTAGCTGCCAGTCTGATTGCTCCAGCTGCTCCCCCTGCCAGCCGTCCTGCTGTGTGTCCCTCTGCTGCAAGCC